TTCTCTGAAACATACTTGCTTTATGTAATTCTTTAAAGACTCAGATAACCAGAATGAATTCAACCTAAAGCCAGGATTTAAAGAATGTAAGAGATTTGTCCAAGATCTGGGAATAAACTGAATCCTTCCTACTCATTTCCATTAGAAGCCCTTGCATCTGTAAAGGCAGATGGGAGCTCCACCTATATTCAGGCAGGAAAACCACTCAATTAAAGTTTAAAGTTTTACAAGGAAAATTCTTACTGCTTGCTTTAGGAGGGAAGGGTGGAGAACATTCTGTTTTACAGGACACTCCACCCTCCACTATATCCCCTTGATTAACTATGTAATCAGATCTCCTTCATCAACTTACCAATCAGGTAATGGTAGAATATTTCTGATGCTTGGTATGGGGTCTGAGTGAGGAGAGTCCTAAGAGTATTACTTATAGCACCTGTTTTGCATAGCATTAATGTGAAAAGACTTAACTTGCAGTACAAGTTAACATTTGTTCCAAGTTTTTTTAAAAAAACATTATTTTAGCATGTAAGCCTTATAGACATAACTCCTGTCTACTGATACATTATAAAGTCTTAGAAAAGTCACTGATTATATACAAGGAAGTGGACAAAGGAGAAATTTCAAATGCATAAGAACCAGTAAAAAGGTATTCATAAGGTATTAAAACGATTAGCATTTAGTATAAATAACTTGAAATGCACAAGTACCTACACCTGTTTTCCTGCCCACAGAGTCCATACAATGAAGATTTGGGATTCTAACTTTGTTTTTAAACTGGAGAAGTACAGAAACTTTGAGTCTTTTTACATTTATCTTACATCATTTAGTATCAAGATTTAGAGTAAGGTCTAAAGCTTTATCTTATGTTAAAGCTGGGTGCCTAATATGTCTGTCCTGATCTCCCATGGAAACAGTTATCAGGCTTCAGATAATTATTTTGTCTCTCAATTTTTTAACTTGAAAATACATGGCTATTTATTTTTGCTCTTATTTTTTCTTTTTATTATGCAATTTTTCCATCATTTGGTAAGGTTGAAAGAATACCACAAATGTTTGTATACCTTTCACAATTGTGTATATATGTATGTGTGTGTGTGTGTGTGTGTGTGTATAAATGTTGCAGCATGCATTTCCTGAGATTAGGATCTTCTCTTACCTAACCAAAATACCTCTATCACCTGTAAAATCCCAATTCCAGGACACAGCCTAGATAAATTAAATAAAAATCTTTGTAGTGGAGTCAAGGAATCAGTAATTTTTACAGCTCCCAAGTGATGACAATATGCAACAAATGTTAAGAACCACTGTCTAACCATCGACTAAATTTGTTAAACATTTTCAGTAAAGAATACATTTTGTTTCTTAATATGAATAAGAATGATAGCCTTTTAAAATTTAGCAAATCTAAATTATAGATTTTAGGCCAGAGTTTTCTAATAATTTACATTTCCTTAAGCTGTTCTTATTAATATTTTATTTGTTAAATGTATTTTATCTTAATTTCAGTTTCTTCTACATCATGATTTGAAATGCAGAAAATATATATTATGTAGATTCCAAATATATTTATCTCCAAAGTTAAATGAATTTTAGTAAAAATGATATTTAAACATATATTTTAATAAAACATTTAATAAATTAGATAGAAATCTTAGCATGTAAAGCATAAAGCTTTTTCATAACCTTCCACATAATCAAATTTTAAATTAGGAGAAATAAAGGTCCAGACAGAAAAAATCAAAATCCAAACTTACTGCATGTTACATTTAATAGCTAATGTACTTTCATGTCTTAAAAATCTAAATGTTTCTTATAACAAAGCATTATCCATAAATGAATAATCTTGACTCATAACAAATTATTCCTATATTGTAGTTTTTGTCAGAACTAAGATTAGCATTATCCTAAAACACATTTCTGAAATTTTTCAACATCTATTCATTACTTCTCTGTGGCTTCTTTGACGCCGTTGTACCCAAGCAAGTAAAGAAGGCATTAAATATTTAGAAACAGCCCTGAGATATCTATGTCCGTTCTTCAGTGTTAGGAGTAAAAGGAAGCAATGTGTAAACTGATGATTTTTAATAAATGAATTAGAACAGTTCAAAGTGAGGTAAGTTATACATTTTAGACTGAAGTAAAAGTCACAAGATCCAGATTCTAGGCTATGATTAGCAGAGCACTTCATCTCCCTGGGCCTGAAGTTTCTCACCTGTTAAATGAAGGATTTAGTTCTGCCAAAGGTCCCAAACTTTCTCAATTCGCAGCATTCCTAGTATCTCAGTAATTTTTTTCATGGTATTGCAAGTTACAAGAAACACCTAGCAGTTTCATTTATTAAACAGTTAACTCCAAACTTATGTGTGTCTGTCCTAACAACTTAGTAGCTATTTAAAAAATAATATACATTAACATTTTTCATTATTAATGGGATGTGCACATCTATCTGTTGGGCACTTTACAACTTCTCAAACCTTGGAATAAACTTGGAAACCACTTCCCTCATTTCCTGTTCTACAGTAATTTTCCCATAATCCTTGTTTTATTACAGCAATTTACAAAAACACAGCCTCACAAAGATATGATGTTGTCAAAAGGAATAAATTACAATTTAATGTAGAAGTTATGAACTACCTCAAGATGTCTGATATAACTACTGTAACCCACAGTGTCTGGTATATTATAGGGGCTAAAATCTTGCTTACTGAAATGAACTGACAGAATAGGTTTAGCGTTCATTTTGATTATTTTCCTTATTCAAGAACAGTTGATATTTATAATGGCATTCCTAAAACATTTTTCTCATACTATTTCACAGGAGAAAGAAACCCATATACATACAACTGCATCTGAAACCTCGGAAAGTAAGCTCAACCCAATTGATTAAGAGGATGTTCTCTGGATAAGGTAATCAAATGTTCACCAACTTATAGTCAAGTTAATTGTTATGAGAAAAAAAATCATGTAACTACAAAAAAAGAAAACCACTCACAAAAAAATTTTTTTAACTCTTAGCAGATGGCCCCAAAACTTTGAGAACCATGTTCCACAGTGGCAATATAGGAAGTTTCTAGATAACAGCAGCTCATTTTTGTTAAATGGCATTACACTACACTGGTTTTATTCACATACTTGCAAAATGGTTAAAGGAAGTTCATGTCACTATTAAAATGAATTCTGGGAATTGTATTGATATTCCATTTTAATCTTAATTATGCAAAGACCTATTAACTAAGACTATGTAACATAATACAGTATGATATGACTTCTGGATAATGAAAATAATCCTAAAGTTAAACATAAAAAAATAAGACAAAATAAGATACAAAATGACTGTACCAAATAGGTAACAACCTTAAAAAGGGCAGGATTTTTTAAAAAATCACTAAATTAAGATTGGGTCACTGGATTTAGTACATCTCTTTTCTGAAGAGGAATGATAAGCTACAGAATCAATCAATTATGTTTTGACATGAATTTTTCACCCTTAAAGTTCCTAGCTAGGAGTAAATTATTCTTTTCCATTTATACGTTTTAGATAGAATGACTATGAGTAAGTACAGAAAATGAAGAAATGAAAGAGAAGGGAAAATACAGATGGCTGATTCTGTCTCTGCAATTGCTAATTCATAAACACCAAACTTTCCCTGTGTATGCTGTCTTCTTTGGGAATTTGCTCCATCTTTTCCTTAAACTGAAAGCTGGCATGCTGAAGCTATTACTTCCCTATACGCTCTCCCAAATACTGCCTAATTATTTTCTCTTATCACACATTCCGGATATAGGGTGGATGTCCATCTACTTCCTCATTGCCACTTTCCAGATCACTTTTACTTTATGCTCTTCTAAAATTAAAACAAAGATCATCGACCACAAATCACACTTGGTCTTTTGTAGCTCATGCTAGAATACCCTCTTTGTCACATCTTTTTCATCTTTCTGATTCAAAATTCAGTAGCCTACTTCATCTCACCCCATCCTTCTTTTCTCCAGCTAAAAGACAGCTGCTCCTCAAACTTTAAGGACATCTGAATCACCTGGAAGTTCTTGTGAACTTCGGGTTCTGAATTAGTAAGGGCACCCAAAGAGTCTGCATTTCTTATAACTCCCGTGAGAAGCTGTGGAATACTCTGAACAGCAAAGCACTAGAAGTGCTGTTTCTGTTGGTATCTAATCTATTAGTCCTAATCTCTCATTTATACTTTGGAACTCATTCTCTCCTGCCTTCACTATGTTAACATCTATCATTCCTTTACTGTTCCCTTGGGTCCCCTACACAGTTTGTCTCCACCTGCTCTCAGCTGCTCAGTATCGCCCATTTAAAAAAACAGAACTGGCCGGGCAAGGTGTCTGACGCCTGTAATCCCAGCACTTTGGTAGGCGGAGGCAGGTGGATCACGAGATACACGAGGTCAAGATATCAAGACCATCATGACCAACATGGTGAAACCCTGTCTCTACTAATAATAAAAATTTGCTGGGTGTGGTTGTGTGCACCTGTAGTCCCAGCTACTCGGGAGGCTGAGGCAGGAGAATTGCTCCAGCCTGGGAGGCTGAAGTTGCATTGAACCTATATCACGCTACTGCACTCCAGTCTGGTGAAAGAGTGACACTGTCTAAAAAAAAAAAAAAAAACTGGCTGGGCGCGGTGGCTCACGCCTGTAATCCTAGCACTTTGGGAGGCCGAGGCGAGTGAATCACGAGTTCAACAGATCGAGACCATCCTGGTCAACATGGTGAAACCCCGTCTCTACTAAAAAAAACAAAAAATTAGCTGGGCATGGTGGCGCGTGCCTGTAATCCCAGCTACTCAGGAGGCTGAGGCAGGAGTATTGCCTGAACCCAGGAGGCGGAGGTTGCGGTGAGCCGAGATCGCGCCATTGCACTCCAGCCTGGGTAACAAGAGCAAAACTCCGTCTCAAAAAAAAAAAAGAAAGAAAGAAACTAAACCAAAATAAAATTAGAAAACCCTCATTTAATTCCTCATTCCCATAACCTACCATCTGATGTCTCTCTCATCCACAGCTAAACATGGAAAAAGAAATGTCTGCTTGACTATGCCACTTCTTCATCTCCGGCTCAATCCTGTACCCACTTCAATGTTATTTGCAGGCCCATCACCCCACCAACACAGCATTCACGGAAGTCATCAGTGAGTACCTATTTAGAAGACAAAATGACATTTTCAGTTCTCACCTAATTTGAATTTCTCAAAAGTATTCAATACTATTAACTACTCCCAATATTTTTCCATATTGTCCTCCATGACACAACACATAATAGTCCCCTTATTTTCTATTTTCCTGTCTATTGTAGAGACTTCCCGCATACACCACCCCAAAAAAGGTCAATGAAACGCCTAGCCTTCAAGTCTCAACTAAAATCTGGCTTCTAACGCCTCCCCAACTAGGAAAATATATAGTCCCATTGGTTGTCTACCAGTTTCTTGTAATTCTTAGCCATAAGTTAGCTGATCCACCGTCCCTCAGACAGGTGAAGTTAAGCTCAGTATTTGTCATATCTTGATATACAGTCTAGTTAAAAAGAGTTTGCATATGTAAGAAGATGGCTACCGGGGGGCGTTGTTACGTCCTACGTCATCACGTGCCGGGATGAGGGTGGGGCCCTCAAGGAAGATGGAATGGAATCCAGTGGGCGGGGGCAAGAGGACGGGGCGGGGCTACGCAGGATCTGGGCGGGGCGGGGCCGGTGAGGGGTCGGGGGCGCTTCTGCTATTCAGCCGGTGCGCGCGGCGGCGGGAGGCAGTGGCGGGTTAGTCCCCTTGACGCTCTATTCCGAGCGTGCCTTGGACCGCCAGCTCAGACCAGAGACAGCCGTGTAACTGAACGGAAGCTGGAGGCAGCGGGGACTAGTGCCCGGCGCTGGAGCTCTGCAGGCGGGAAGCACCCAGCATTTGGGAAGTCCCGGGAGCAGTACGGCGGCGCCTCCTTCGCCCAAGGGGCCGCGGCGGCGGTCACGGGGCGCGGCGCCACCGTGCGCGACCCAGGCCAGGATTCTAAATAGCCCAGGCTCCTCCTCCTCCCGGGCCGCCTCACCTGCGGGCATTGCCGCGCCGCCTCTGCCGGTGTAGACCGCACCTGCGCCGCTTCGCTCGCGGGTCTCCGCCCCTCGCCACCCCTCACGGCGCCAGGCCCGGGCAGCTCACCTGGACTGGCGCGGAGTGCGGGAGCCGGGTCGCTGAAGCGCGGCGCTCACGCCGCTGTCCGGAGAGGACGCAGGTGGAGCGGGCAAGACTTCGCGGAACCCGGCGCCGGCCTCCGCAGTTGTCCCAGCAGACACCGAGTCCCGGGGACCCGGACGCCCGTGCCCGAGGAGGAGCCGCCGCCGCCGGCTGGGCACCATGAACACCAGCAGCGCCAACATCACCTATGCCAGTCGCAAGCGGCGGAAGCCGGTGCAGAAAACGTGAGTGTCCGGAGCGCGTCCTCATCGCGGGGGCTGGGCGCTCTGGCACGCGGGTGCGGGAGGCAGCCCCACCCCGCCCCCAAATCCCTGCGATCCTGGGGATTAGGTTCTTTCCCGGCACTGCCTGTGGAATTGTGGTTTGGAGGCCGGTCGGGAGACCGAGGACTTGGATTCTCCAGTTTTCAATGATTGCATTTTAAAAAGTGCCCTCCCACCCATCCTCGGCCCCCGCGCCAGTGCACACGCACCCTCTCACATCTGCAACTTTTTCTCTCTTCTTTGGTCCTAATTTGTTGACAGCTCTCATCTGCCTTGTGCTGGTGGATTACTTAGTATAAACCTGTCGAAATCTCCTTCCACTTCTAATATCCGCATGGGTTAAGTTAGAGGACGGTCTTAGTTCTTCTTCTTGGTAGAGTTTGGTAGGACAAGATGTTTTAAAGAGCAAAACACGTGGCGAATTTTTGCGAAGGGGCAGTGACTCTAAAGGTACTTTTTGGTCCCCACCAAATGGCTTTCTATTGCGCTCTTATTTGGCAGCGATTTTGTAGCGCTCATCGTGATTGTATTGGTAAAGTGGATAGAAGTGGTAGCAGGTGGGAGTGGATGCAATGGACAGGATACGGTGGAGGATTTGTATTCCTCAGACACCTTTTTGGGAAACTTGCTTATCACTTTTGGGGTGGTTTTAGGATCTGTAAAATAAAAGATTTAGAACTATATTTGAGAGAGGTTTTCATTCTTAACATCTACCTCTAACTCTTTTTCGCTTCGAAGTTTTGTTACTTCTAATAGAGTCAGTACAAACTTGCTTATGAGGTCGGTTGATTTTGGTGGGATATTTGTGTGAGATGGCAAATACTATAATTTTTTTTTTTTTTTTCAGAGAAAAACTAGCCGTGCTTGAAATATTTCCTTTTGTGAGGTGGTTGTATTCCCGTGTTTATTCCAGTTTTTTTATTTCTAATTTTATCTGAGTTACTTTACATATTTTTCAAGTTTCCGTAAACAATTTTAGGACTCTTAAACGTCTTCTCAGACCAAATTAGAAGTGTGCATTTTCCTTAGATTTTACCTAACACTAATGGGAACCAGAGAAATAACAGTTTAAGATTTACGTGTAAAATCAATTATTGGTTTAAAGGTACATTCTAGAATTCAACTTCCTTTCAGAATTTCAGTTATCGTAGTTCTTCAGAACTACACATATAAATTGGCATTAAGAGGATAATTATAAATAGACTGATTAAAATTTGGAAGTTTTACAGTATAGTGTGTCTTAAGGGAATATTGTCAGACTAGCAGTTTTCTACCTTGGCAGTTTGAGACATTGGTTTATACTACTTTTAATTTTGTAGAATGGTTTCTTAAAGTATGTTTGTTTGAAGGACAATTTGACATTGTCCTTGATGGTTCAAGTTGGGAGGCATCCCAAATGTCTGTTCTATGTATTTATTAATACACTTAGCATCATGTATAATAGGTATATTAATGGGTTTTATGTGTATTGTCAGAAAACGGGAAGATCTCCCTGATGTGTTTTTAAAATACCGGGTTCCAGTTAGCGTATTATAAAAGGACTTGGATGGCTTTGAAAACAAAAACAAATGCCATAATTTTGTACAGTTTAACATTTATGGATTCTAATTTAGATGGTAATGTTTTAATATATTACATTTTTCTTTTGCATAAAATGTAACTTGTTAGATTATCTTAATATTTTAATACACTTTCTTAGTCTTTAATGTACTTGTTTTTAATAATTTCCTATAACAAAAGTATTTTCCTGATTCAGCCCACATTTTATTTTATTAGTGTAGATGTTTATCTGATCTCTGCTGAGCACTGTACATTGCTTCTAATCATAAAGATGCCTTAAATATCACCAGCTTGTTCTGTAAGAAAAGCCTAGTGCTGGCGTTTTCATTGTCAAATGAAAGTGTTTATATAAATTATTTTTACCTGAATAAATAATGGTTAATTTTATAATGCAGTTAATTAAAGTTTATTTTAGGAATGAAATCATTAAACCTGATATTAAATTTAGTATTAGTTTTAAAATTAAAGTACTAGTTTGTGGCCTAATTAGGCCCAAAATATGCCAACATTGGGGAAAATAGATGTTGTTTTGAGCTGAAAATGCTATCCAGACCTACTATACCTCCACCTTAGTGAGAGCCACTTTATTTTATTTACAGATAAAATATGATGTAGCATAATATAGGATTGTTTAAAAAGACAGTCATTTAAATATTAATTTTATGAAATATATATGTTCTGCAAAATTTTGGTGTAAAGTAGGTGACACTTGTAACCTGTGAATTTATTAAGAAAAATTAACCCCCCCTAGTGGCGACTCTCACATTGAAAATTATTAGTAGGAAATACATTCTAAATATATTCAATTTAATTCCACTGAAGTATCTCGAACATAGTAGACTCTCAATAAATGTTTCCTTTCTTTTTGGAGCAACAAAAGTTGGGAAATTAAAGGCGCTGAAGCAACTTTACATCCAATTCATGTCCTACCTCAAGAAGAAAATATCAAAGATAACCTTCATTATAGGATTTACTGTAACTTTCCTTAGACTGTTGCCCCACACTTAGTAACCCTACTCAGAGAAAGAACAAATCCTGTGTTTATTTTATTCTCGTTGAAAATGAAAGTGTTTGTTTAGTTATTTTGTCTCATGAAGACAGTCAAAAAGATCATTATAGAACTAAATAGAATGTTTTTCCCTAGTGATAACTTTGGACATAGTTTTGTATTTTTAAGGTTTTACTGATGAAGACAAAGTTGTAATGGATTTCAGCTTATTTATGTGTAGCAAGTTAGCACTGACTGTTGGCAAATAATAGGTGTTAAATAAAGGGCATCTGCACTTTAAAATGATACCAGCAGTAGTGGTGATTAAGCCGCCCATCATGAAGTGTCAGAACTGGAAGTAACTTCTGTGCTTAGCTGATCCTTCTTTAAAATGCATACTGATAAAAGCTTTTACATTTATTAACATATTAATAATATAATATAAAAGCATTGTCTATTTTGCTATTCATTATTTTTAAATGTCATGAATTTCATATATATAATACTGAATTGTGTTACTTACATAATACTCATTAAATGTTTCATATAAATGTATGATGCCATTTTAAAAATAGCTTCTAAAATAAAAGATCTTTTCATTTACACAGTTATTTCACCATCATTTTTCTTTCAAATAGCTTGATTTAGATAGCATGTACATAGTAGTTATGGACACTTGCTCATTGGAACAATGAAATGAAATAAGTGAAAGTGTTTAGTTATAGGTAACATTAAATGGCAAAAAGAGACAACAGGTATAAATTGAAAGCACTGGATCTAAACTAAAAAAAAATGATGTCTAGTTCTTCACTGTTACAGATCTGGGCAAGTTTCTTGACCAATAAAGCAGGGCCGTCAGCACCTATACTGATACTCTCACAGCTAAAACTAACAGAAAAAAAAATTATAAACTGTGAACACTGCTGAAGATATAAATGAAACAAAAACATAAATTCTATTCTTTGAATAATTTTAGTTTACATTATCACAGAACAATCAATTCTCCTGTGAAACAGTAAGAGGCAGTATACGATTATGTTCTCAATTATGGCTACAGCTGAAATGTACTACCTTGCTGGTGAATAAATTTACATAGTACATGCTTACTCATGTAGTTAATTAAAACAGTTACCTGGAAGTAAATGCCATACAAATCTTTTACAACAGTACCTTTCTACTTCCACACCTTTTTTAAAATTGATATTTTGCTAGTGGTTTAATATAACTGTTTATTAGCACTTATTATGACACAAGTGTGCGTAGTTCTTTACATCATTTTCTTCGTTTTTGTAATAGTACTAAAGAAAGATAGTGTTATTTAAGTTTATAGATAGGGAGCTGAGGTTCAAATTCAAAGTTGTTCAGGTAATGAAAAAGCGGTGGATATTGGACCTTAGGTCTTGTGACTTCAAAGCTTATGTTCTTACTGACTTCACAGTACTGTCCAGGTGAACAGGTTCAGTGATGCATACAGTGCAGCCATATCCGAGGGCTTTTCTATTGTCCACTGTTTCTTCTCAAATAGTGTTATGGCTGAAATAAATTATTTATCATTTCCCATA